CTTTAAGCAGTCTTTAACCCACGACAACAGTATTCTCAGAGTACTGATTTAACAGAACTTGTTTCTCAGTCAATACTTACTTGCTTTGACTTCCTCTCATAATGTATCTCTTTTAAAGTTACAACAGGAAGTCAAGAGTTAGGACAGTGATTAACATAGCCTCAACGAGAGTAACAGTAGTAGTGTGAGTGGCAGGAATCTAAATACCAATACCTTCAGAACGAGTTACTTCTTTGCAAAACTTGAAAAATCAAGTTAAATCTGATGTTGATGAAAACAAAATGAATGGATTGGCTCTAAGTTTAAAACTCTCTTTGCCTTTGTTCGAACAGATTTCCTTACAGACAGTTGAATCAGAATCAGCATGTGCAAATCTTGCTAATTCAGACAGCACGGACATATTGCAACAGACTATTGTAAATGAGGTGCAGAACATTTATACTAGTGTATCTGAAGATGGAACCAGCTGCACAGAGCAGACGCTTCAAGCAAATGCAGAAACACCAGTAGCATGTGAGCTTTTAGCAGCTACTAATGGAGAAGGTGTTTCTGGAAGTCCTTATAATTCTACCAGTTGTGTACTAAGCTCCATTGAACAAAAGGCTCCACAACCAGAGAAAGGAGGGAGGATACTGTTCAGTGCAGCAGAAAATGTTGAAGGATGTCACATTGAAACTGAAAATGCTGGTAGTTTAGATATCACGCCTATAGCTTTACAACTCCATGAAAAAGACACACTTCAAATCAGACAAAAGAGAGAGGATCTTCAGGAGACCAACTCTAAAGCAGGTTTGCATTTTGGTGTTAATGCAGACATCAAATCTTATTCATTTCAGAGTGTGGAAAATACGCAGAAAGAAACTTCCGAGAAAGCAGGTGCCATGTTTTATTTGAAAATAATTATTTTATGAGTTTGTTGAAAGTGTTGTGTGTATTTTATTTAAAAAAAAACCGAGCTGTTGTTCTCCATAGAGGGTATTCTGCCATAAATAAATAGCAGACAAAAGGAATGTGTTGTGGTACAGTCCTTTGTGCCAGATCAGCTAGTTAGTAATTTTTGCTTTGTATTTTTGGGAGTTCTTTTATATCCAAGTACCCATTATATTTACCAAAATTTGACAGCAATGGTCATTACATTAATTAGAATGAAATTCTTAAGTACTTTTTATTTCTTTAATACCTAAGAATCAATAGAGGTCATATTTTCACAAAAGAATCTTTGGATTGTTTTGGATTCAATCTTAATACATTAACATACAGTGAATAGTGGATAACGGTTTTATTACGTTAAGGTATTTTCAAAAATTGAGTGAGTTGCTGCAGGCATTTTTTAACATAGACTACATAGTCATTTTGACATTCATTTTAGTATCAGCTGTAATTTCTGAAATTATTGAGTACTATGCTATAGATACTCTCAAGTCCTTTTGTTAAACCAACAGATGAAGGAGTGTTTGCTGGAGTAAGTGGAACAGAAGACACTGAAAAAAATGAAGAAGAAAGAAACTCAAAGACCAATGTGCTTTCCCAGTTTACTGAAACAGAAGTCATCCAAACTAAAAGAATAAGATTACACCCTCAGGAGACAAGCCAAAAGGCAGCCTTGTATTCCAGTAGCAGCAAAACCAGGTTTTCATCTAGTTGTTCACAATTCAGTCGAGCAGCAGAACAGCAAACATCCCAGAAATCAGGTGAAAAGTTAATACTATTTTATAAAACCAGTGGAGTTATATTACATAAATGTTAGTTTAAAATAACACTGAATTGATCCTCAGTTAACTATTTTAGGTCTCACGGATCGAAGAAGAAAACCTGGCCCTCCATATATTTGGCATACATACATCCACTTATATTTTATAGTCTGTATCCTCATCAGACACAAATCAGCATAGGCTCTGATTGTACTGGTACGTTTGGTTCCAGCTCTAGTATAGAAACAAACCTGCTTATATGAGGATAAGGACCTAGTGTTCTCCAGTAGTTATATTCTCTTTTGCCTGCACATACAGCTTTCTGCTTAGCAGTTTCAACCCATGTGTAAGACTTGCATTTATCTTGTAGCCTTACCATTACAATAGAGCCCTGGTCCAACTGATTACTCATCATAACCTAAAAGTATTTTTAATTTACTGCTTTTTTGTTAAAGCTGGCCATCATCTTGTGTAGTTCAGTTCTTTCTGGAACCAGAGAACCATAGCACTCAAGATTTACTAAACCCAAAACCTGTAGTTCAGATGGGATCCCTTCTCTCTTAAAACTTTTAAATGTAATGTGTCTGGACCACTGGTTCAAAAATGTTTATCCTCATATCATTTGGCATTCTCCTTAACTTCTTTTGAAATGAAATGACCTTTGTCATTAAATGATAGGAATTTCTTGTGTAGCTTTGCCTTGATACGGAATAGAGTATCTGTGTTCTCTGATCATTGAGGACGATTCTGTCTTTTCTCTCTAGCAAATAAGAGTTTGGGAATTATTTTTTCTGTTTCTGATAGATTTTAAAACACTGCCTTCTTAGGACCCTACATGTCTGTGGCTATCTCCTTGTATTCTTTTGTTTTCCACAGAAGTTTTCTGCAACTCGTTATTTATGTTTGCTAACATTGACTTCCCATTTTTTCATTTCCTAATTATTTTTGCTCTCTAATTCCTTTGCTAAGCCAGGTTAGTTTTTGAATAGGTGCAGCTTTTAATTTTGAGTGTGGGATATGTTCTGTAATGCTTCATAGCTATTATTTTTTTGCTGACATTTTTTCTTCAAACTGTTTTTTATTTCTGATTGTTTCCAGCTCTGTGAATCTTTCCCTTTCAAATAACTACTGTGTCAGTGTAAATGTGTACTTTATATACACATACAGAGGAAAAGGTGTTTTATATATAGAAAGACGTTTATGGAAGTATGTGTGAATGCATATGTATTTGTGTGTGAATATAATATTTTATTTATTTATTTCCAAGTGTTTGCAGCAAAAAATTTTAGTTTCCTCCTTGGACTGCACTTGGGCTCTGTTGGTCAAACTTCAGTTGCCTTAGAGTGGGATGTAAACGAATGCTAGCATTAAGTATATTGTGTATATTTTGAAAATCAATGGGATTCATGCTCCTACATCCATTAAATGCTTTTAAAACCAGTGTGCAAAAGAGCATGTATAATTAAAATAATATGTATAATGTACATGCTAACCTGTACATGCCCACGAATACATCTGCACACGTACTATCAGCATACTCATTGTTTTCCTTTTTGTTGTTTGCTTAGTACCCTCCTTCTCTTTGGGAACTTTGGATGCTTACTAGTCTTACAAGTTGAATTAAGGATTCATCAGCCAATCTCTGCAATGTGCTGTAACACATGACAAAAAACTTTCAGGAAACTGTGTGAAGTTCCTACTGACCCTTTTCTCTTTGATAGTCACAGTCTTCTTGTCCTCTTCTGCCTTCAGCTGAACAGAATAGTGTTTCCTCTTCCAGTCTCTGGTGGTTGCTAGTTTTCAACCCATCCTAAGCTCCTGCTCTCTTGAATTTCTGGACTGCAAGCTCATGTTTCTTTTGGAAGTTGAGGGGAGAAGGAAGGGAGTAGGTACTTCTTGTTACTTACTGCTCTTCAATATTTGGCAGTGTCAGTACTTACCTTTCCTATCTCCAAATAGGTTCCTCCTGTTGTAGGAATGTCTTTTTACATTCTGGAGAAAAATCCATGGCATATCTGATGCATGTCATCATCCACTGCTAATTACTGGAAGAATGAACATAGATATTATTCCTTTCCGTAAAGTTGGGTTTTTTGGGGGTTTTTTGGGGCTCCTATATTCCTGCTCAATCTTCATAATAAGGTCTATTTGCATTAATGCATTTTTGGATTTATTTCTTTTTAATTTTTGCCTCCCATATATATAGAATTATGATTAAAAAAAACAAAAAACTTTATTCCAAACTTGTTGCATTTTGGTCTCCTCTGGAATAGCATTTCACAGATTACTTTTTCCCCCAAAATAAATTCTTTAGATAGTATTTTATTCAGCTAAAATTTAATTATTTCCTTCATCCCAGGAAAATGTTGCTCTTTGAGAGGTGATAGGAGGAAGTATAGCCCTTCAAACAGTTGAAGGCATTAATAGCTTTGGAGACTGGGACAGTGGCATTCAGATTGCAGCAGAAAAAAAAGTGGAAGAGGGATATTTTCTGACTTGCAGGGTTTTGGGATTTTTTGCTGTCTCATGCCTTTTCTTCATTAACTGGCTTCTGTATCTCATCTGTTTGTTCTTCTGTCCCAGTGGTGTTCCTTATATTGTTCTGCTCTTGAATTACAATCTTTTCTTCCTAAATGATGCAGTGTCACTTTCATCTACAGTCACTTATTAGGCTCTCAACGTTCCTATTCTGTTTATGTAGAAGGAAGGTACAGGCAGCTCACCTGTTTTCATATAGTTCAATCTGTGGAAAGAATTACTTATAGACCAATGTTGAAGTATTCAAATGTCTTTTTGAAGGACGATATCGTTGAAGTTGTTGAGGTATGGCAGCCTAATCTAGTCTGATTGCTGGTCACTGCAATCTCTCCATTTTATCTTTGTATGTGTGCTGACTGGATTTTTTATTTACCAGTTTCTTGATCTTTACTGCTGGTAACCCACCTGGCAATGCATTCCATGGAGAACCAGTATTTTGTGATTCACATACCAATGTCCCATTACGGTTTTTCAAGTGTCTCCTAAAAACCGTGAAGAAAACTGTTGTGCATGACAACTTAACTGGAAAACTTTGCAATTGCTAAGGGTCATTAGCTTAATGGCCTGTTTGCGCCTTTTTTTTTTTTTTTTTTTTTTTTTTTTTTTTTTTCCTTGTTTGGTCTTTTTTTTTTTTTTTTTTTTTTTCTCTAAAGAGTCCCTAGGGCATTATCCCATGAATCAAAGGGGAAGAAAACAACCAGAAAGTGGATGATTGCTTCAGGAGTTCAGACCCAGAAGCTTTTCGACAAGACACGTTATCTTACACAAAAGTAGGTCTCAGATTGGAGGGGTGTTTAAATAACCCCTCTGTGCACTCTAGAATTTTACTTTTCATTTTCAAAGTAAACTCTTTAGCTTTTCTGGTTGCCAATACTGTGTGAGCCAAGCACCCCCAATGCAAAGAGTGACACCTGAATCCTTTCTGACAGGTAAGAATAGCCTACAATGGGCTCCATGATGCCATAGTCTGGCCTAAACAAGCTAGTTTAGTATTAGTATGGATATATGCTCACTATATGTCTGTTTTTAATGAAGTTGCAGTATGTCTTTCATGTTTTTCCAAACAGTCTTGGATGACAAGCTCAGTAGTTTAACTTAAAGGAAACCTTGGAAAAGCAGATTTTCCAGAAGGCAGGGGGAACCTGAAAAAGGCAGCTGTAGAGTCATGGAAGCTGTTTGGTAGCAATGGGTGCTGATAACTGAAAAGATTAGAGAAGACAGCTTGTCTGATGAGAAGAAGAAATGCTTGGAATGCAGCAACTAATTGTTCATAGGAATAATTAAAAAACATGGATAAGAGTTGCAAAATGCTTATTTAAAACATTTCACTTTCCTTTTTTTCGGACAAATTACAGATTTTCAAGAAATCAGAGAAAGAACACAGTGAACTTTTAAAAAAATCTGATAGCATAGTATTATAGCAGCAGGAACAGGAGTTTAAAAAAAAAGCCAACATGCATGGTGGAGCTTTTCAAGATTTATACATCCTGTCTTTCTGGTAGTGGTTTTGGGGGAGGGGATTGTTCTTACTCTATACACAGAATCAGTACTTTTTTAATCTGGGGTTTTTTTGGGTTTTTTTGTATCTCTTACAATCTGGTATGCTTGTTACCCGAAGCCCCAGAGTTAGGACCTGTTTGATGATCACATGATAAAATTTGAAGTGGGTGTTGTTTGTCTCATGAACCAATAAGAGAAGGATTAAATAAAATTTGTTTACAGTTATGGGTCCAATCCTGCACAGGTTTAATTAAAAGGCAGTTCAGCTGTGTCACTAGATGTTAGTCAAAGATTTGTAATCAGTCTACAGGACTTTTTCACATCACAGTTGTAAAAATACCTTATGTAGAAACTGATCTCTTTTTTGATACAGAATTAGGAACAAAAAAGAGGTGATGGTTAAGTCTTCACTTTTATGTAGTTTCTTAAGTACCTTTATGTGTGTACTTTACATATTTAGCAGGCATGCCTGGTCACTTGAAAGCAGTCCATGCAGAAATGTAACATACTCCCTGCCTCTATACAGTGTAAAACTTTGACCTTGTTACCTTTTTTGTTGATCCCTAATTCATTGTACCCTTGTTAAGTCATAGAATCATAGAATCATAGAATCATTAAGGTTGGAAAAGACCTCAAGGATCATCAAGTCCAACCCAACACCACCTAACTCACTAAACCATGTCCCTAAGCACCACATCTACACGTTCCTTGAACACCTCCAGGGATGGTGACTCAACCACCTCCCTGGGTAGCCTGTTCCAATGTCTGACCACTCTTTCAGTGAAGAAATTTTTCCTAATATCCAGCCTAAAGTCGTCTAGATTTGAACTGTAAACTCTTGCATAGATCTGTTTGTTACCTGTGCTGTTATGCAGTACCTTCTGACCTTTTGATGTAGTCAATGTTATTGAATAATTGAGGCAAGAGTATTGCACGCATTTACATTAATTCAGATGAGTTACGAAGCTTAACTCTTTGTTCATAATGAAACATTTTTTGTGGTCCCTAATGAACACCCAATATGTTTTTAGAATCCTTCCTATCTACCAGAAAAGAAGGTGTAATTTTAAGTGGTGCCTGTAATACAACAGCTGTGAGAAAGATGAAAAAGAAAAATGCAAAAGGAGAAACTCAGCTGCATATTGCTGCTCGGAAAGGAAATTTGTCTTTGGTGAAAACCCTAATATCATATGGAATTTGTGTTAATGAACAGGACCACGCAGGTTTGAAAATTACTGTCTTATGGGCTTGTTTTATGATACAATTTTATATAATTTATAGCATATATGGTTTTATAAAATTTGCTTAATTTTAATATAATTATGGATTCTTGATTTATTATATAATTATGAGGAGATAAGGAAGTAATTCAACAAGTACAAGCACAGTCAGTGAATCCCCTGGATTTTGTGTCTCAGTGTGGAGCTAGTGCGGTCTTTTTTCTCTGAAGGGGCATTAATTGGGTCTTGCTCCTCTGCTGAAGAGCACATTTTCAGAGATATGTCCAGAAAAATGAACGGGGAAGTTAATTGGGAGAACTGATGCTTACACATATGAATGTATACATGTGTGAAGCACATTCACACAAATCTTGTGAACTTAGGAAATTAGGACAAAGATCAGATGACAAGATTTTTTTTTGTTTTTTCTACCTAAATGTGTAATGCATTTCTGTTTTTTATAGTCTCAGAATGGGTAGTATTCTATTCTGGATGCCTGTTAGACTTCATATTGTAAAATGCCATTGGGATTAGAAACCAGACTATTAATATTATGCTTATGAGTTTTTAGAGTCTTTCTACTCTATTGTTTTGTTTCTTTTAGCCTTTTTAGTAGTGTAGTAGAAAAGTAAACTATTTTTCTGCTTAATATTGGATACATTTTTCTCTAATGTAAACTGAACTACAAAGGAAATAATTTACCTTGGCATTTCAAGATAATTGTTTGTGTAAGATTTATCTTAAAGAGGGTAGTCTGTTGGTTATAGCACAGCAAATACAGCAAAATGTATAATCGCTAATTAATGATCTGTGTGGATCTTTCCAAGTCATATGCATGCTGTACATGTCATCTTTTATTAGGTTGGACACCAATTCATGAAGCTTCCGCTGGGGGATTTACTGATGTGATTTTAGAATTACTGAAGGCTGGTGCTGATGTTAACAGCAGAAGCCTGGATGGTATTTTGCCAATACATGATGCTGTTTCTGGCAATTATTTGGAGGTACATTTTTGTTTTACATTAGATTTCCTGAGCAAAAAGCAAAATCTTAATATAAATAAGGAAAATGAAAGATAATACTACAATTTTAGTGTAGGTTTGCATTTGGGAAATGAACCAGTATTCTTTAAAGAGACTAAAATTAGAGAAAGAAATATTTTTCAATAGTGACAGTTGAAGTTGTACACTTAGCTGACTTTTTCAGTCCAGTGGACAAATCAGAAAAATTCAGAAGCTCCCCATGTTTCTCTCCCACATATTGAGCTTTTTAAAAATTATACTGAAATTGAGAATTGTCAATTTGGTCATCTAGTCCAACCTCCTTGCAGTGAGAAGGGACATCTTTCACTAGATCAGCCTGCCCAAAGCCCCATCCAACATGATGTTGATCACTTTCGGTGATGGGACATCCACAACTTCTCTGAGCATCCTGTTCCAGTGTCTCACTGCCCTCATTGTAAAAAAATTATTTTTTGTAAAGAAAAAAAACGAGGCCTGCTATATAAATCAACCATTTTTTTTTTCGATAGCTGGTCCCTTCCAACACAAACTATTCTATCGTTCTATAGAACGAATAAGACTATTTCAGTTGCAAGGAACCTACAATGATTATCTAGTCCAACTACCTGACCAATTCAGGGCTGACCAAAAGTTAAAGGATGTTATTAAGGGCATTTTCCAAATGCCTCTTACACACTGACAGGCTTGGGGCATGAACTCTAGAAGCCTGTTCCAGTGTTTGAGCAACATCTCAGTAAAGAAATGCTTCCTAAAATCCAGTCTAAACCTCCGCTGGTGTGGCCTCAGCACCTTCCGCTCCACTTCCCCTCCTCAGGAAGCTGCAGAGAGCAATGAAGTCACCCCTCAGCCTCCTTCTCTCCAAACCAGACAAGCCCAGAGTCCTTAGCTGCTCCCCACAGGACATGCCTCCCAGCCCTTTCATCAGCTTCATTGCTCTCCCCTGGATGCATTCAAGGACCTTCACATCCTTCTTAAGTTGTGGGGCATAGGACTGCACACACATAAATAAAAGGTTGTTTGGGCACAGGGAGTTCCAGGGAACTGAGAGTAAAAAGGTGATGCCAGACTGGCTCTAACATGCCACTTCCATTTGTCAGTAGAGCTGATATTTCATTGCATTTATCTTTTCTGCGAGCAAAGATAAAATGACAGGGGTGATTTCACAGGCCTGGTGCCAAACTATTGGTAGGGTCCTTGAAAACACATAAGCTATTATGCAGTATTGTGGAGGAAAAGCAATGGAGAAGATTCTGAACTTCTAGAGCATATTATCTTTCTGATACTTTGTGATACCTAACAGCACTCTCAGTGTAAGAAAGAAGAAATGCCAGAGATGAGAAATCATATGTATGAAAATTCTTTGCCATCCAAGGTCTGACTTCATCAAAAAAACATATGATCTGAATTTTAGGGGGTAGATGATTCCACTGATGCCACTGATCTAATTTCTGTATTTTACAGCAGACTTGTAAGTTAATTAGAATTAGGAAAAAAAACAATCCGTGCATGTAACCAAAAACCAAAACCACTATTAAATACTTAAACAAAAAAAATCCACTTATCTGCACTTTGGTCTTAATACAATTAACCAGTTCATTTTAATTTAGATGCATGAAGTTTTGTATTGCTCTCTGTAACAATACCATAAAGATGGTAGGTTTAATGACGAGTTGCAAATTATTTGTGTATTTTAATGGAAAAGTTAGAAGAGTAAGTTACAAGTCTGTGTTGATAATAGGCAATTAAACTTGTTTGTTTAATTAGGATTGCAAGTGTAACAAGTTTTAGAGTATGTTATTTCTACCTTTATTATTTGTGATTTATGAGGGATACAACACATACAGTTGTTCTATTAGTCCACAACAAGAATTACCATGATACAAATAACAATAATAATATATAATAGGCAGTCAAGATTCTACTACAGCATGGAGCAAATCCCTGTGAGAGGGATGGTTCAGGGAAAAGTGCTTTGGATGAAGCTTGTGATGATGAAATGAAAGAACTGCTGAAGTCTTACAGTGCTATGGACTCTCTACTTTCTTTTGAGACTATTGAAGTTACAGGTATATTGGTTTTGTAATGCTAATCATGGGATTACCCTGTAGTCTTAAGGAAAAGCTGTACATTAGAATGCTGCTGATTTGCAGAGCTGCATATTGCCTGACACTGGTATTTTTAGCTCTATTAACTACTGATTTTTATTTGTTTATTTATTTTTAGAAAATAGGATCCGTGATGATTTTTTTTTTCCAAGAGATTTAGGTATAAGGACATATTTGGCTCTTCAGATTTTTGTTATTATCCATATTTTGCTTCACAGGAACCTTGTGTTTTTGAAAGTGGTAGCTTTAAAGACTTCCTACCTTAGGCTATTTAAATTTTATCTCAATTGCATATACAAGATATTTTTTTATTATGTGATCTGTCATTGCTTCTTAGTAGGCTATATTAGCTAATCTAACCTGTTATGCTCCTGCAAATTAATTCTAAATTCTATTTATTTTTTCTTAATTGCGGAGAGAGGAGATATCCTTCTCGATCCCGAAGTTCAAAACGTTTTTGCAACTACTGTGAAAAGGATGGTGCAGCTTTGGAGCCACAATATGAGAAATACAATGCGGTAAGTACAGATAAAAGAGTTTTGTTAAACATCATAATGTAGTACTGCATAGTGTCATTTACTGACTGAATAACTTTAAAATGTCATTTAAATAATTAACCCTTTAGAATGTATGTAGACAACAGCATCATGCAGAGGCTTACAGTATATAAGCTGTGGTTTAACATATATAAGTGTGTATATTATCATTTCTCCCTGTTCATTATTCCTGTGCACTTACATTTATTGTGCAAACAGTAGTAAATACTTCTGTATATTTCTTGCTGCCTATATTAATAGCAAAAAGGTCAGGAGTCATGAGGCTTTTTCTCACATTTCCAAAATGGCTCTTTGAAAGAGTAGTGATTTTTCTTAATGATGATGAAGGTTTAATCTTAATTTAAAACACCCAGGAAGATTTTTGCACAGCTTGTATGTTAGGAGAGATTTTGCCAGTGTTTGTACTACATGTCTACATTGTCTAGGTGATGCTCTCATGGTGAAATTCAGTGTCTAATTCCTGCAGTGTGCTCAGAGGTGGGACTTTGAGCATGGGCTAGTTTGAATGCCTGGGCAAAACCAGACTATGACAGCTCTTGCAGGGCATACCCTTGGCACTGTGTATGTCTATCCTACCAGTGCCCCCGTTGCCTTTACACAGTAATTTCCTGCCTGGAATGACTTGAGTCCACCAATACTTACCCTGTAGGCCATGCAGCATAGCCTGTGTTTTATATGGTGTGCTTGGCTCTACTTACTATCATTTCTGTGTTTGTTAACAGGAGTTTGTTGCTGCCATACAAGATGCAGAAGAGAAGCAAAAAGAATTGCTGGTACTTGAGTTGAGGACTTCCAAAGATACAGGTAGACATAAATTGAAGTTGTTTCACTGGGTTTTTTTTGGGTGGGTAAATATGTCTGGTAATATAATTGATTTAAAAATAGTATTGCACAGAATATATTTTAATAACTCCTCTGGAGAATACAGCTTCAGAGAATAAGATTTTAATAACAGCTTCCAGGTAAGGGCACTTCCTGAAATGCTTCCAGCTTCCACAGGAATGAATATTGTGACAAAAAAGGGAAGCATGCTGCTTGGTGGCATGTGTTTCAAGTCAACCTAATCATATAAAAAGGGATCATTAGGTAAGAATGAACACTGTTGGCACCATTATTCAGTTACAAGTACGTAAGCTCCTCCATAATCAAGAACAGCAATGTCTGCATGTAAAGTAACAGATTCAGCATTTTCATTCTAGTGCTGCTGGACTTTCAGGAGCCTGAAGTAATTTATGAGGGGAAAAAAGAGATATCTTTAAGGCAGACGCTATGGATGCTGGTTCTTGGAGGTGTAATTTGTCTTAGGCTATCAAATCTCACTTCAGATTAATCTCAATAGTCTACTAAGCGACACTGACTTCTAGGAGGTCACAAAACTGGTGCTGTGTAGCAGTTTGAATCTATTGTGTCTGTGCCGTGACTGTTCAAGTGGCAAAGCTTGCTGCAGGAACACCTTTGACCAAAGTCTCTCTCCCCAGCTGCCCTTGCCATCTAGGCAGGGCTCTTCATTTTGGAGCAGCACATGCCAGTGCAAGAGTTTTGCTTCCTGACAGAAATTAAGGGGTTTTAAAATTTATTTTCCTGAACATAGGGTGGAGCTTTCAAAGTCAATTTGTCCCTTTAAAAATAAAAGTGAAATATGGAACTATGCAGATTTATAGCTTGCAACTCAAATTTATGGCATATGAACTGTTAATTAAAATCAACGTGTTTTCTTGAAAAATGTTTGACAAACAGATAGATAATACAAAAGACAGAGATCAGTGCAGTTTCATAAACGAGCCAAATAAAACTATCAGACTTTTCCTGTTAAGGAGTGTGAAAGTGTCGTAGTTCAGCTGGGATAGAGACAACATTCTTCTTATGCCAAATCCCATACTAAATCCAAAACAGAGCACTATTCTAGCTACTAAGAAGAAAATTAACTCTATCCCAGCTGAAACCAGGACAGAAAGAAATGAACATGGTGATCTGTTACCACTACTGACAAAAGCATTAATAATCTAGCACCTCTTAAACTGTAGTTACTACTTGTGAAGAGGCACAAGACTAAACAAGAACGCAGAAGTACATTGACAAACGTGTAACGTAGAATAAAATCCTCAAGGTATTTGCATGCAGTACAACCTACTGTAAGTAGTAGATTCAAATTCCCTATTAGGCCGCCTTAATAAGAGGAATATTTTATTTTTGTATTTTAATGGGTAAGTAAATACTGGTAGATACTGTGAAACAGGTTTGGGGAAATATTTTTAAGTGCCATTTTTAATCCAGTAATTTCCCATTTTTCATAGTTACAGAAAGCTCATATTTCTCTTTTTAGAACTGTAGGAATTAGATTACGTGTTTAGCATATTATCCCAGTGGTATCTGCTGGTCATGACTTCTGAGCTCTCCCTTATGGCTAAGCGATAGGGCAAATAAAGAATTATAATTGTTCTTATTTTAGAAAAATATAGCTAACATAAAGGGACAACTTATAATTCATTTTATTTTATAGTATGGATATGAAAATATGTAAAACTATGATACATATGTTTTTACCATTATATGTAACTTGGAACAGTCTAAGCTCATTAAACTATTCTATAATACTTCAAACATAAAGGTTTTAGCCACCCTCCTAAGATTGTGTAAATTCTGCAGGTCATCTCATATAATTGTCATGTTATGTAGCTCCTTGCAACACAAAGGACTTCAAAAGTTTCAATGCTTATAATCCATAGGACAGTTCTTTAATCTATCCTGTTCTCTCAGTAATTTCCTAGGCAAGGCACTTGGACTTCAAAATTTTCCATACTTGAGCTATTCCTTGTATGTTAAAATTGTATTTAATTCTTTCTATGAAAAATTTTATTAAAAGTACTCAACTTGGTAAAGAGATATCAGGATGCATGACAGTATAAGGTACTGCTGTAACTGTTATCATACTTTGGCTGTATATTTGCTACATTAAAAGTGTTATTACTACAGTTATTTGCAAGTGCTTATTGCCATCATCATTTTGATTATATCAAAATATTGGACAGATATATATATCCAAAGGTTGTCTCAGATTCAAGATACTTTGAACGAAATGCTTGCAAAACAGAAGACAGAAAGGGATACCCTTGCTAAAAAATACAGGTAAGCAGAATACAAGGATTGTATTTGTAGGAAACTCTTCTTTATATCAGTAGTGGTAGAGGTTGTTAGATTGTTAGCATACAATAGCGTGAAAGTAAAACTATGTGGTTTTTATTCAGAGTTTGTGGAAGCATGATCCATACTGGCTTTGGTTACCTCCAGTAACAGTTTGCATCAAGGAGGAACTTCAGAGTTTAGCTAACGTGTAGTAATGAGTTACTGTGCACCCAGTGAGCATTCAAAGTGGGTAGTGAACGTGCAAAAGGTGTGGTAAAATACCTAAGCAGAAAACAGAAGATGAAAGTACTGAGCCATTAGATTATTTTTGCAGCATCATGGAGGAAAGCAGTAGCAACTCATACACTACTTTTAATGTCCCGGCCTCCGGTTTTGTTTCTTTAGCACTCCTAGATTGGGAGTGTTCAACCAACAGCTCACAAAAGCCGTTTAGAGCAATGGCTTGAAGCTGGGAGTGCTCACCTCAATGTGAGCATGCACTATGTGAAATTGTCGGCTTCCTGCTGCTAGCTCTCACAAGGCCTCTTTTTGCTTCCTTGTAAGAGGGGCTACCTGAATGCTGGTCATGTGGTAAGTGCTCAGCTGACAATGTAGCATCGTGCTCAATGGATGCTTCTATGCCATCTGATGAGGAGGTCTGCATGTTGTCTTTGTGAGCAGTATTCATTTGGTCATGTAAAAGCAATAGTATACAGCTTTTCGGGTAGTTCTATGGCAAAACATATAGGCTGGGTGGGCAAAGAGACTGAAACATTTCTGTCACACACCATTTTGCCAGCTATAAAATATAAGATACATAGATATTAAAAAAAAAAAAAGAGTGGGTTTTATGTGAAGAGAAGTTAGGGTTCCAAATCTTCCTTGTGAACAAACTAGTGACTGAATTAAGAAACAAGAACAGTAGAATTAGTATCTACACAAACTTACCAGCCCTCTGATATTGAGAGTGAAACTGTGTTACAGAGCAAAGCGATAAATATTTCTGGGTATTGCAGTTACCCTGCAGCTAATGCAACAGCTATCCATCAACAGTAATGAGCTACATGCCAAATTACCTTAAATTTACTTTTTATTATTTTTATGGTGAACATTTTATTTTTAACTAATTAGCACATAAGCTAGTTTTTATTAGTGGCTGTATGTTAATTTGCCTTTGTCATTTTAGTCACACTATCTTTGCCTCTTCAGTTGTAACTTCTTCTGTACCTGTACAGCAATAAGGCAACAAAACTTCACTGAAGAAACACTGCTAGCAAATTGTGTGGAGCCTCACTGGCCTGCATAGGAGTCCATAGTTGTCAAGGCTTACTCATATCAGTGATCTACTATATGCTGATACCTTGATCATATCATGGATTCTAAACAAGTGATAACAGGCAATACCACAGTACAGACACCAACATGGTCACGCTGTGGTTTTACTGTCCTTGCTGTGCGCCAACTAGTCTTGCTGTACCTCTGTCCTGATCCCCTCAACAGTCTCTCTCTTCCAGGACTGGGATGGTGTTACTTACATGGCACCTCTGCTGTGGATGGAGTTGAAAGCAAGCCATGCTGCTATTAATTTCCCACACCTTGTGGTACTCCCCTGTCTTCCCGGCATGGTGCCAGAGTGGTAGTACAATCACTTGTCCTGTGAGGGGGAATTAGGAGAGAAAAGTATTATGCTGGGCTGTTGGCTCTTCTGCCAAAGGAAGTGGGGAAAATAAGGAATTCCTTCCCAGCAGGACAGAGGTAAAGTCCCTAAGGGAAGAAGTCTCACAGGGAGACCAGCTCAGCTAGGGAACAGGGTCTGATGAAGGGACAGACGTTCCCAAACTAACATACAATGTCCTGAACTGCTCTGTCCGCTTTTCTTAATAGTCATGTGGTATTATTACAGCTGTAGCTTCACAAAATGTTTTGTTGTGTACACCATAAAGAATTTCTGATAGTATCAACCTTCAGTAGCTTATCCTGAGCTCATTTTAAAAGGCTCCAATGCAAAAGCGTTGAATTCAATGAGCTATTGTGATTTGTGGTCATAAAAGAGCAGCCAGTGGTCATATAGACCCAGTTTGAATTCTATAAATTAAGGGCGGTATAGGAGGACAAGGCTGTTACTGAAGTTTTGGTGCTTTGCATCCTACTTCTGGATAGGATTCTGCAGTTTCTTGTGCGTAAGCTTGGGATTTGAAGTATAAACTTTGTATGTCATGAAAAGATTGTTCAAATTTTAGGTGTTGACAGAGTCCTTTGAAACATATACCTGTTCTTAGTGTGATATGTCTATTAAACGGTTTTTATTTTGTGTTTACAGTAACTCTAGTGTCCTTATTATTACTTTTTTAAAAATTTTCTCTAGGGCTTCAGTGGAATCTTTAAAAAAAGGAGCACTGAGGAAACAATTAGTTAACCTTGCTTGTAGGCAAAAGAGTCTGTTGACTGTTACCCAAAACCAGGAAGAGTTAGTCCAGAAAATACGAAATTACAGAAAAACAAAGCGAGTGTTGCGTGCGTCATGTTCAGAGAAGCAAATCTCAAACTTGGTTTTTTTCCATGGAAATAATAAAAGACCAACTGCTGATGAAATCATGTGTCCTGATGTAGTTAGATCTAGTATGGGGCTTGGTACCAGCATGTCTAATGAAAACAGAGTAGAAGCACATCGCTCTTTAGAAAATAGATTTTCATCTCAGGAATGCAGCCAACATCCATACATCTGCTTGGATGAGAGAGGAGCAAATCAAGTAGCAATTGGAAGAAAAGAGGCTTCTGATCAGGCTTTGGCATACGAAAACAGGGTAAGAGAATGCCTCTCCAACAACACGTCAAAGCTGACAAGTGTAGAAGTGGTGATGTTGCCTTCAGAACCTACTGTTTCCATTGATAAAACAAAGTGCTCACAGCAAAAAGACATTGACTGTGTAGGAACTGCAGTACAAGGAAGCAAGTCTTTAAATCCCACTTCAGTGACTAACATGTTAAATATTGTAGAACCCCAAAGCACTGTTGTCAATAACAATGTCTGTCAGCCAGGCAGTCATTGCCAGCAGGTTCTTACAGATGAGGATCTACGCAGATACGCAAATAGGAAAGAACCTTTCCAGTGGCAGCAGCAGCAACAAGTATTTTTATCAACATCTACAAAGAACTTCCCTAATACTCTGCAGCAAATGATCTTTCGGAGTAGTGAGAACTCATTTAATGCCAACTCGGTGCTTACAAATCTTACCTCAAATACAGATTATCCAGTAAACCTCAGTGAGAAATCTTCACAGAGCTATAGTAGTCAGGAATTTGAACAAAAACAAGTGAGGCGTGGAAGAAAAGCTAGGAAAAATCTTCAGTGGGAAAATCTCCTTGAATTGGGAAGGATTAAGCCAGGAGAAGATGTTTTAGAATTCAGACTGCAGGTAATTGCTGAAATATAATAATGTTAGTGTTAGCATATAATGAGGAAACAGCAGTTCTCATGGTTTAGTCTGCATTTTCAGCATTTGCTATTGGAAGTTTTTATTCCTTGGTTATGGATAATCTTTTATGTGTTTTAAAGGAAAGCGGATTATGTGTTCTATTGGCCCATAATTTTAACACACAGAATATTGCGTGTGTGAAATTTTTGTTTAACTTTGTGTTATCAGTTCCTGTTGCTAGAACAGGCATGGAATCATTGGTTGGTCTACATTGTGTAATGCCTGATTTTCCTATTGGAAGGAGCTGAAATGTTGAGGTTTTCATGACTTAATGTGACTCTTGGAAGCAACTATCAAGTCCCTCCAATAAAGAAATGTGACATCAAGGATTTAATAGTGCTGTGATAAGCATGAATATATGCAAAATTACTTGCTTCAATGCCAGCTGGTTCTGTAGGTTACAGTCTGGTATGAACTGTATTTGCAAAAAAAAAAAAAAAAAAAAAGGAAAAATAAACAGATTTTTAAAGTACAAAAGTATGTGCCTTCAAATACAGAGCAGATTTGAAGGCAGCTGCCAGGGGACCGGCTTGATATTGAGCACATGATGGAATTGACTGAATTCCCAGCTCTGAGATAGTTAATTTACACAGCAACATATTGATTAAAACATGAAATGTTCTTTTCAGCCAACTCACCAGGTGTGGTTAATATAGAAAAGACTCCTTTTTCCATAACTATTATCTGCTGGGGAATGCTTTTCTGCTGAGAGTGGCCGTTTCATGTGGTCTTGTGTTTTGTAACGTAAGACTGCGTGAGCGAGTCACAAGCCTCTGTGCTGGGCCATGTTATAGATATATACACATCCTGATTTTCTTTGAAGGACATGTAATATTCCACTGAACCTCAGGATGACTAAATGGAAGGATGAAGAATTCAGTATGCTTACTGTCATTTCTCAAGACTGTTGTCTGTGATACTGGCTTGGTGCATGTGGATCTTAAGGAATTATAACTCTGTATATGTTGATGTTTGGAGTGTAGAAAAATTTTCAGTGTTTTTTACTAGAATGAAAATGACACTCATTTATGTCTTGGAAGACATGCTATGGAGATTGAAGTTTAGAATCCAGTGTCCGTTGCATTGCAAAGAGGAGATGATCAGTAAAGTTACCTTCTTTATCGTTACAGAAATGTACTTGATAACATACAGCTAGTAGATAGTCCTTACTTAAGGTTAGCTTTGGGAAGGCAGAATGCAGTTTTTGAGCACTGTAGACCCAAGCTATGGAACTGTGAACTGGATTGAGTTTTCATCGAAATATTTGGGTTAAACATCTTAGTTTAGATTTTTACAGAGATGTTAAGCCAGTGCATGGGGTAGGAGGCAGTTCAGTATTTGCTGATGGATCATTTCCTTATTCTGATTGTTTAGTCTCACACATGCTAAGCAAACTTGCTGTATTCTAACATAGAATAAAATAGAATCATAGAATCCTAGAATGGTTT